TGCGCACACGTCACGAAGTGCTCGCCTCCCAACTCTTTCACTCTCCTGGCCCAAGCTGAAATTGATTATAATATGTGTATATATATACATATATATATATATATATATTCGCTGAATTTATCAAACCCAGAGCTGAATTTATCAAACCCAGAGCTGATTTAAGGCATTTCAAACATTTCAAGGCCATGGTTTGTTGTTTCAACATGTTTCGGTTTCGTATATTCTGCAGCCAAGCGGCTGAGCCAAACCAGACACCCACGTTCTTGGAGACTCGGATCTCAGTGAGTTTTGGGGCTTTTTTCGGCTTGGAGCCGATGATTTAATAGGTGTTGCTTCTATTAATCCCATTCCAACCATCATGGAAAATCCCTATGAAATCCCAATAAATCACCATTAAATCACATAATTAATCCGTATTGACCATCTATTCAAAAAAATGCATCCGAAGATATTTATTGATCACATATACTTCGACCAATCGTCTTTTGAATTCAGCTTGTTCTGGTTTTTTTCGGGGTTTAATACTTTGAGCCATACCCATTCGAACAAGTCTCCATCCCAAGGACTTTCAACACCCACTTTCAGAGGCAAGGCACTGGGAGGCCACCAAAAAGCAGTCCATGGGCAGCACCTGAAAGCTTCGAGATTGAAGGGATCTTGAGTTGGTGCTTTGAAGAACCAAAATATACCGTAAATGCATACAATTTATAAGTTGGGTTGCCAAGTATCTTGAGCCAGAGTTGGTTAAAATGCTTTGCCCCGTTGCCTGTTCTATTCAACACGTACCTGAATTTAAACTAGTGGATGTCAAGAGGTTCGCAGCGCAATGGCTTTCCTTCCTGAAACAGAAGCCACTTGAGGGCGTGACTGCAATATATGAAGCTGGCAGAAGTTGAGCGCACCGTGAACGCATCTTTTCTTTTGGGCTTGTCTGACATGTTATTTGACATGGCCAGGTTCAGACTATTCCTGGATTGCCAGAGAGTGTGAGACCATTTTTGGCCGCGAGACAAAAAACAAGCGGAATGGTGACAACTTGACGAAGCTCGTACGAAATCATCATGACCTGATCATGACAAACTCGTCAGGGTCCGACACTCACAGGCAAATCCAATTTCCCAGCAACAACCCCAAATAGAAGGTGAATTCAGGCAGAATCTCGCGGAACGGCTGATTCTCAGCCTGCATCCCAGCGTCAGCCAGACAGTGCTGAGATCACAAGTCATGGTGGATCCTTGAGAAAAATCTAATGTGGCAAAGTGAATGGAGGCCAGGGAGTTCCAAGATGTTCCAATCTCAGAAGGCTACATGCATATAATCTATGGGTCAAATGTATAGTAAATGTATGTAAAATGTATATTATTGTTATTAAATATGTTCATAGCAGTAGATCAAGTAAATATAACATTGTTATATTATATATATATATATAATATTATATTATATATAATATGTCTGTATACAGTAGGTTATCCCATTTCTGGGCCCAGGTGAAGGACCTGTATTTTTTTGAACAAAAACGGCATCCACCCGAGCATTGAAACTCAATCCAGGCGTCCTTCCCGACGGAGCACAACTGTACCAGCCAGCACAACAATTTGAGAATCGACTGGTTCTGGTTGGTGGTTGACCTACCCCTCTGAAAAATATTGAAAAATGATGGAGTTCGTCAGTTGGGATTACTATTCCCAATATATGGAAAAATAAAAAATGTTCCAAACCACCAACCAGTGCTGATTCTATTGAATCGCTATTGAACAAAACCCGGTCAAGGGCGACTCTAGATCTATCGGTTGTTCGGTCAGCATAGAATTCGAAAAGAGCATGAATCCTGTATTGGGCACAAGTCACATTCCGCATGACTCATTTGCCTAGCGCAACAAGTTGTATCTTTCTGAAGTGCTGACTATTCAGTGTTTGCTGCTCGCCAAGAACTGGCAACCAGGACAAGCCAAAATCGTAAGGTGGGAGCGTGTCAAAATCGGAAGCAAACGGAAGCAATTCTGTCCAATTCTTCAATTTTCATACATCGTGAATCAGCGTACCTTCAAAACAAATAGGTTTGTCTGAAAATGTGGTAGCTGAAAATCGAGTGGTTCATGACCATCATGACCTTCCCCTAGTGAAACTGCCGTTTGGGTATATCCATGTATATCCCATTTTCAGACACGCGTCACCATCGTGACTTGTAAGTTTTGACACAGACCCCAATGAATTCTCCGGCTTCAAATCGGAAATGCCACTTGACCCAAGCCTGAAACTCGACATGCTTCAGAACCAGGCACCTTGGGCCAGGTGAGTAAACCAAGTACCTTAGCTGCAAAGAGGTTTACGTCGAAGGCTGACACGGTCAACATAGACTGGAATCCTCAACAGATAGTACTTCATCAACAGATCAGCTGACCATTTTAGCCAGGGATCTCAGCTCATGCGAGAAAAGTCCCATCATCATCATCAGTGCATTAGTCGTCTCGTGCATGAGTGTATCACATGCCGGCTCCTTTACAGGGACGACAAAATAACACAGCTTCAAGATATGGAGGTCTCCTACAATGAGGGTACCCCCTAAGGCCCTAGCCCTAATCATCCAAATTAGACCATTTTTGTATTGAAACCCATAGTGACTTGGGGATCCTCAAAAAGATTTTGCTTTGCATTCAAGGGTCCAAAAAGACCCAAGGGTCCAAACTGGGTCCAGCTGATGAATCTCGCGCAAGCCTCGCTCATGTCCTTTTTCTCGCTCACACCCAAAATCATCCAAGTAAGGATTTGTCAGGACAAACAAATCAGTGACAAAAGGTCTGCTCAATTATGGGGCATGTTACAATTTGAATTCTCTTTTTTGATCTGTCCTGATCACATTTGCCTGCTTAAATGTATGAAAAATGCAAAATTCGTGGCATCGTCATGTTGCTACTCGAGCTTGGATGCTTTCTGCATCACTGGCCGGGCTGCTCAGCTTCAGCTCGGACACGCTCGGATGTTTTTGCTCCGTGCCCTGGACCTGGACCTGGACGGCCTGTCACGGAGAAACCGCCCGGCTTGCGACAACGGGGAGGGCACGGAGCTGGGGAGCCATGGCTGGCCAGGGGTAACACAACGGGAGAAGAAGAACGGGAAAGTGATGCAAAATGAGAAATGTCACTTTTATAGTTTGTAAACTAGAAAAAGTTGCTTTTGTAACATATTGAAATTGTAAAATTATGCATATTTGCTGAATACTTTGATATTTTTTGAAAAGTAATTTCTATCCATATTTTTTGTCCACAACCAATCTTAAAACATTCACTGGTTCATTTTCAAGGTATTGGAATGAAATTTAAAAGTTTTTTTTTCGAAATATTTTTTGTCAAAATATGTTCAAAAAACTAATTTCTATCCTTAAATTATGTCCAAAATCAGGTTTAAAACATTCAGTGGATCATGCTCAAGGTATTGGAATGAAATTTAAAATATGTTTTTTTCGATTTTTTTTGGTCGAAATTTGGTTCAAAAATGACATTTCTATCAAAAATATGTCGTGTCTAACCTTAAACCCTACATCCGTTAATAATCATAATGCACAATATGCACATAAGCACGCTATTTCCACACAACGGGGTGTTACAACGGGGGAGACACAACGGGAGAAGAACAACGGGGAAAATGATGCAAACTGCGAAATGTCCTTTTGCGAAAAACCGCCATGCCCAAAAATATGTTTTGCGAAAATCTGGTTTCCCCAAGGATGTGTTTGCGAAAATCCTGGATATCCAGGACCGTGGTTTGCGAAAGATCAGGGTCAGATCTTTCTCAAAAGATGTTTTTACCCATGTTTTGCGAAAAACCGCCATGCCCAAAAATATGTTTTGCGAAAATCTGTTTTCCCCAAGGATGTGTTTGCGAAAATCCTGGATATCCAGGACCGTGGTTTGCGAAAGATCAGGGTCAGATCTTTCTCAAAAGATGTTTTTACCCATGTTTTGCGAAAAACCGCCATGCCCAAAAATATGTTTTGCGAAAATCTGGTTTCCCCAAGGATGTGTTCGCGAAAATCCTGGATATCCAGGACCGTGGTTTGCGAAAGATCAGGGTCAGATCTTTCTCAAAAGATTTGCAATTGTTAAATTATTTGTTGCTACATGTGCGCATATATTGATAAATGAGGAAAACAACATTTTTTTGCGAAAAGTAGGTTTTCTCAAGCATGCCGGCCACAAGTCAGTCAGATTAATCGCAAAATGGCAGCTGGATAACATCTATGTTGAACCCCTTGTTTGCGAAGAACCAGGGCCTGGTTCTTCTCAAACAGGCTGCTGATACCTGGGGTGTTTTAAGCAAACCAGAGGCTTGCGCAAAGCAGTGCTAGGGAACAAGCAGTTGTTTGAGAAGAACCAGGCCCTGGTTCTTCGCAAACAAGGGGTTCAACATAGATGTTATCCAGCTGCCATTTTGCGATCAATCTGAGCGACTTGTGGCCAGCATTTTTGAGAAAACAAGTTTTTCGCAAAAAAAAAAGGTGATTTCCTGTCATCATATATAATATAGCGACATCACATATACATACATTATGTATATATTTTAATATGACATACAAACATGGAACATCTTTTGAGAAAGATCTGACCCTGATCTTTCGCAAACCACGGTCCTGGATATCCAGGATTTTCGCAAACACATCCTTGGGGAAACCAGATTTTCGCAAAACATATTTTTGGGCATGGCGGTTTTTCGCAAAACATGGGTAAAAACATCTTTTGAGAAAGATCTGACCCTGATCTTTCGCAAACCACAGTCCTGGATATCCAGGATTTTCGCAAACACATCCTTGGGGAAAACAGATTTTCGCAAAACATATTTTTGGGCATGGCGGTTTTTCGCAAAACATGGATAAAAACATCTTTTGAGAAAGATCTGACCCTGATCTTTCGCAAACCACGGTCCTGGATATCCAGGATTTCGCAAACACATCCTTGGGGAAAACAGATTTTCGCAAAACATATTTTTGGGCATGGCGGTTTTTCGCAAAAGGACATTTCGCAGTTTGCATCATTTTCCCCGTTGTTCTTCTCCCGTTGTGTCTCCCCCGTTGTAACACCCCGTTGTGTGGAAATAGCGTGCTTATGTGCATATTGTGCATTATGATTATTAACGGATGTAGGGTTTAAGGTTAGACACGACATATTTTTGATAGAAATGTCATTTTTGAACCAAATTTCGACCAAAAAAAATCGAAAAAAACATATTTTAAATTTCATTCCAATACCTTGAGCATGATCCACTGAATGTTTTAAACCTGATTTTGGACATAATTTAAGGATAGAAATTCCCCACCTGCCAGGTGAGGGTTGTTAGATTTTATGTCAGTTGCCTCCTCCTCCTCCTGCCTCGTCCTCCTCTCGTCCTCCTCTCCTCCTCCTCCTCCTCCTCCTCTCCTCCTCGTCCTCCTCGTCATCCTTGTCATCCTTGTTGTCCTCTCGTTGTCCTCGTCGTCCTCGTTGTCCTCCTCGTCCTCCTGCTCAACTGCGACTCGCGATCCACAGTGTTCGCTGCCGGACCTCAACCACGACCATCCACGCCCAGTGTTCCCTGCCGGACCTCAACCGCGAGTATCCACGCCAAAAGATATGCCATATAGAGTGCCAGAAGATATGCCAGATAGAATGTTAGAAGATATGCCAGATAGAATGCCAGAAGGTATGCCAGCCATAGAATGCCAGATAAATGTAGAATGCCAGAAGATATGCCAGAATAAAGTGCCAGAATGTTTGCCAGATGAAGCCACAAGTGGCCAGATCAATATCAGAAATCTGCTAGATAGAATGCCAGAGAATTCCAGAAGATTTGCCAATAATATTCCAGATATGCCTATTGCCAGATGCCAGAAGATAGCCAGAACATATGCAGATATATGCCAGCAGATAATGCCAGAACATCTGCCAGAAGATCAGACATCTGCCGATATGCCAGGTAGAATGCCAGAAGATTTGCCAGTAACAAAATGTATAAATGTCATGGTGGGGATCACACGAAGTAAAGTAATTAGTTTTTTGAACATATTTTGACAAAAAAAATATTTTGAAAAAAAAACTTTTAAATTTCATTCCAATACCTTGAAAATGAACCAGTGAATGTTTTAAGATTGGTTGTGGACAAAAAATATGGATAGAAATTACTTTTCAAAAAATATCAAAGTATTCAGCAAATATGCATAATTTTACAATTTTAATATGTTACAAAAGCAACTTTTTCTAGTTTACAAACTATAAAAGTGACATTTCTCATTTTGCATCACTTTCCCGTTCTTCTTCTCCCGTTGTGTTACCCCTGGCCAGCCATGGCTCCCCAGCTCCGTGCCCTCCCCGTTGTCGCAAGCCGGGCGGTTTCTCCGTGACAGGCCGTCCAGGTCCAGGTCCAGGGCACGGAGCAAAAACATCCGAGCGTGTCCGAGCTGAAGCTGAGCCCGGCCAGTGATGCAGAAAGCATCCAAGCTCGAGTAGCAACATGACGATGCCACGAATTTTGCATTTTGCATACATTTAAGCAGGCAAATGTGATCAGGACAGATCAAAAAAGAGAATTCAAATTGTAACATGCCCCATAATTGAGCAGACCTTTTGTCACTGATTTGTTTGTCCTGACAAATCCTTACTTGGATGATTTTGGGTGTGAGCGAGAAAAAGGACATGAGCGAGGCTTGCGCGAGATTCATCAGCTGGACCCAGTTTGGACCCTTGGGTCTTTTTGGACCCTTGAATGCAAAGCAAAATCTTTTTAAGAAACTCCCATATCTGTGCTTAAGATTCGCAAGCATCACATTCGTTCTCATGTTGGGGTGGTTGGGGCCCCGCTGATTAATGAAGCAGGCTTTATAACTGCACAGTTGACATTGCTTGTCAAGAGGCTCTGTCAGAAAAAGTGTTCCAGAGCGAAAATCCAGATTTCCAAAATGCAGCATGCATGCATGCATGCATGTATGTACGTATGCGTGTATGTCTGTATGTCTGTATGTCTGTATGTATGCACGCCTGTATGTCTGTATGCCTGTATGCCTGTATGCCTGTATGTCTGTCTGTCTGTATGTCTGTATGTCTGTCTGTATGTCTGTACGTCTGTCTGTCTGTCTGTCTGTCTGTATGTCTGTATGTCTGTATTTCTGTATGCGTGTCTGTATGTCTGTATGTGTGTGTACGTAGGTATGTAGGTATGTAGGTATGTAGGTATGTAAGTATGTAGGTATGCAGGTATGTAGGTACGTAGGTATGTAGGTATGTAGGCATGTAGGCATGTAGGCATGTAGGCATGTAGGCATGTCGGTATGTAGGTATGTAGGTATGTAGGTATGTAGGTATGTAGGTAGGTAGGTGGGTAGGTGGGTAGGTATGTAGGTATGTAGGTATGTAGGTATGTAGGTATGTAGGTATGTAGGCATGTAGGCATGTAGGCATGTAGGCATGTAGGCATGTAGGCATGTAGGCATGTAGGCATGTAGGCATGTAGGTATGTAGGTATGTAGGTATG